GGACCGATACTACCTGTCCTCATTATAGAGGCCTCCTTATTTTAGAGTGTCCACAATAGCAGGCTATACTATATACATAATGTACATGTACATGTATGTGTGTTGTACATGTACATATGTGTTTAGTGTTAACTCACTTCTCTTCTTATTGCTGGTGTTTGCTCCGTTTTGAGGAAATTGAACAACACATCAAGGAGATCTGGATACTCATAGTAAGGCTCAATAACATACCTACAAATATAATTAGTCAATTATAAATACATTAAAATGAATACATGTATATGCATGAATATAATTAGGGCTGACTTACCCGGCGTTCTCCACTACTTGACCAAGAGTCCACAAAGCAACCTACAATGTGTCAATGTACATGTACATGAATACCAGTAATTGGTAATTATAAATAAAAATTAATATACATGTATACTGTATAGACAGTACATGTAATAATGGATTTCCTTTATCATAATTACTAATTACTATTGTCATTCTTTACTTATAACAATACATGTACATGTACATGTACATGTGCATAAATTAAATAATAAATAAATAGCAGTTGTTATACTGTACCTCTCTCTTAGGGACGGAGCTAGCGTCTTGCAGCATTTCCATGATAATAGGACACAGTTCTTTGACCCAAGGCCTCAGTCCTACCCCAGCCACTTGAGCCAGTTCACCAATAGCAGCCATTATATTCACTGTCACATTGGGATTGACACCAGGCTCCTTTAACTTAGGTATCAACACCTACAAAAATAATAATAATAAATAAATAAATAAATAAATAAATAAATAAATAAATAAATAAATAATAATAATAATAATAACTGTACATCTGCATGGAATAATTAAAGATCACATTGATATTGCAAAACATCTACGGCATGCAAAAATCACAGTTTTTTTCTATTTTTCTGAAAATTTACTACTTTTTAAAAAAGGCCTTTATAACTCCAATTACCTTCAGTATGGGTTGCTGGTATGGCTTGACTAGTTTAGGTCCATTGGCTATGAGATGCCCCAGCAGTCTAGCACTCTGCTCCTTATTACGACCTATTCCACTGTACTCTAACTCAGTGAGGATCTATAAAAATGCATCAAATAAAGAGGAAACTATCACTCACATATACAATTCACACAAACTGTTACTAGAAAGCATGTACATAACATACAGCAAATTGCAAACAAATTCATAAACCGCTCTATGAACTTCAAAGGGGACTGTCTAAATTGAGGTGTGTCTTGCATTGTGTGGTCACATTACCACCTACAGTACTTGGCAGTTTGAAAGGTCTATGCAAATATGTAGCTGTATAACATATACTGTACAACCAATTAAACTCACTTCATTTGCATGTTCAGTACAAGAATTTACATGTACATGCATGTACTTCATGTAGACTAGCTGTTATAATCTCTTCAATTAACATTTACGTGTACTACTGTATATGCACATTTACTACTGTACAACTGGTTTTAATGTATGTACATGTACATGTATGTGTGATAGTTAATAGACTAACTCACTTGAATCAATACTTTCCTCAGTGTTGGCATGACATAAGCTGGATTGAGGTTACTGAGTCTACCAATGGTACACATTGCTAGCTCTCTTATTCTAAAAACCTGTCATAAAAGAAAAATAATACATGTAGATGCAAGATAGTAGCTTTATGACTATAAAACATACAATTTAAAGTAGTAATTTTATGCTTTACGGTAAGCAAATTATGCAGTTTAAAGGGACTTGATTATACAAGCTACTATTTTCATACATGTACGTGTACAAAATGTACATACATGTATTATTAAAGATACTTACTCCATCATAAATTGCAATAAAAAGTGACGTCAAATTCTCAGCTTGGGCCAGATGAGTATCAAACTTTTCATCGAGTGAGAGCAGAACACACTCTCTCACCTCCTCATCTGTAGGAATATGATTGGAAAGTAGATGAAATAAATGTAAGTGAAAATCTTTAACTCAAAAATACAAAAAAATATAAAAAATACACAAAAATGTAAACGTACATGTACATGTACGTACAATTTTGTGAATGTGCTAAACAAATAGTTGATTTTTATTGGCAACAGTCTTTTCGCCAAATGCAGATCACGTGAGAATTAATTTTCCCCGTGACGTCATAATGGCGGGAAAGTAATGGCTGGCCTTGTGTTGCTTTTTGTGCAATTGATATGATGCTGGATGGTTTATAGTTCTATATAACAGCCTCAAACTGAAAGCAAGGATGTGTAGAATCATTAGGTTAGTTTTTTGGTTGAAAATTTAGCTATACTTTAGCATTAATCCCTGGTGCTTGTAACTAGTCTTTTCTATCTTGCTCTATAACAATAGTGAAACAGACCAGAACAGTTCAATATTAGTGATGCAATTGGCCAATCAATAGATGATCTTGTATGCAAAGATTTGTTTTGATACTGTTGTCGCAAACGACAGGGGCATCCATTATGTTAGTTTCAGCCATTGTCTCATGTCATAAATTTTACTATTTGTACTTTATCCTACAGAGTCCAGGCTCAGAATCATTAGTAAGTCATTCTACTTTAATGAAGTGGTCTGAAATATTTATAGAGCGTGATTGTACACCAGTCATTGCTTCATATTTTGTGCTGAGGACTTTCAGATATCACAGCATCCTGATTTCTGGCTGGAACAACTTTAAACTTCTGAAATG